TAAGTGTTCTGAAAAAGTGGACATGGTATTGAGACAAGTGTAAAAATGATTGGAAAAAACTGCAATGCTTTCAGAAAATCCAGCACGATACCCATGCTAAATGAATATAGGAGCTCAAAATTAATTTAAAATACAGTTTTAAGATTGAACAGCAACATTAGGATACAGGGGTCCTTTGAATGGGCTGAAGCATTGTATTTGTGCTCTTCCTTGGTTACATATTTGTTGATGTGCAATTTCAACATTTAATTAAAAAAAGTGTTTAAAGAAACCACAATCCTAATCTTCTGTCATTTCAACACACAATGAGTTTTTCTTAATTTAATGTCACAATATAATTTCAAAAGCAGAAAAGATTTTGTTAGAAACATACAAGATCATATGATTAAAGGTATGGAATGTTAATCTTAAGTTTATCCTGATATAATTCAAAGAAACACTCACTTTCAAAATAAACTTCTCTGAACAAATGTATACAAAATTGTGGACATTCTTTTAAAAAATGGATTAAAATATGCATCATTAAGATCAAAACATCAAAATTATCCTTTATGGTTATCCAATATACATAATACGAAACAAAGCATTCAAGATGCCAAAAATAAGGGAAAGGAATAAAATAACATAAAATTATTTCTATTTTATTTTCTTTGTGAAAATTTATGACAAAAATATCAGGCAAATTTGGACTGGGTATAATATACAAAAAAATCATTTTTGATAATTGATGTAATAGGTAAAATGTTAATTTTATAATCAGTAATATTAATAATGTTCATATGATCCCAGCTGTGTACATATTAACCAGTTACATACATCATATATCGATATTACGTTTGTCATCAGTCTATTACACAGTCTAGTCACTGAAGCACCCTTTTATCTGATTGGATGTTATGTCAGAATGAATTACACAGTTCAGCATGTTAACTGGACCAATCAGAGATGTTACTGCTTGACCCTGAATGTCTTTCTTAGCTGCAATTGTTTCCCTTGACAAGGAAGAAGGTTCCGGCTCCCACTCCTAGCAGCCCCAGAGTCAGTCCGATTCCGCAAAATGCTGTTTTTCCGATGTTGGACTCATCCTGAAATTCTGGATCTGCATGAGCAAAGACCAAAATGTTTTGCAATTAATTTATATATATATATATATATTTAACTTTATCACTGACATTTTATTATAGTTGATCACTGCATTTATAATAAAAACATAAAAAGAGATGCATAAACTGAAACCATACAAGACTATTATTCAATAAACTACACTGGCATCTGATAGGAATACTGCTGAACTTTCCTGCCCCCCCCATCTATTGCTTTTCAAAAAATTGTTGGTACTTACAAGATTTATAAATAATAAATATAATGTGAAAAATAATATTATATGTTTTCTTACTTTACTTCTGTTTTTATGATATTCTCATCTTGAAATGATTATCTTTATATACATTTTTAAAAATGCCATTCCCCCATCTTACAGATTACCATAAATCATAAAACTATGATTATTTGCAGTTATATTTGGCCATATGCCTTGATGCTAAACCTGATGTACTAGGGCAGCGGTTTACAGTTTTTTGCGATTGCTTACACACTAAAATTAAAACTTTTCCACAATTACCAAAACCAAACAGTCAAGGAGCAAAACACCAGCCCAGATCTGCACAACTATAAGCACATTAACAGCTTCACACTTTTTGCAAAACATTACACACAGTGATTTGCAAAACACTAAACACACTTATATACCTTTGACACTGAAATTAATCATAATGTTACTTCCTTGCAATATCAAAGCAAAGGCTTTCAAATGAACACACCCATGAACCAATTAGTTAAACACAGCCACCAGGTATGCACACAAACAGGTGAATAATTATAGACACACCAATCAGGTTAACAAACACTATAAAAAGGCAATAGGTCACTGTCTTCAACAAAAATGGACGGTGTGAGAGGAAGAAGGAGAGTGCGGGTGAGGGGAGGAATCCAGAGAGAACAAGGTGGAGGAAGAGGAAGACCTGGAGGAGTAGGAGGACGTGAACCAAGAAGAAGACAACCAAATTTGTCAAATGAAATTCGTGCTACACTTGTGGACCATGTAATGGAGAGGCTGGACTGAGAGTACAGCCTAACCTAAGCAGGTACACGGTGGCATCAGTAATTCGGACATTTCGTCAAGAGCACAGGTGAGAAGCGTATCTTCTGTCATCAGACAATCCATAGCTTACTACATATACTATCTCTATCAACAGTTTATAGTTAGCAACAATTTTGTTTCGGCCCACAGGATTGAACGTCGAGAACACAGAGGAGGGAGGGGTTGCATTTTTAAACAGGAGCAGGAGAGAGAAATCATAAACCTTGTTTTGGCCAATAATGCAATCAAACTTAGAGAGATTCAAACCCATATTGTCAATGATCACACGGTTTTCAATAATGTCCAATGAGTCTCTCTGTCAACAATAGCCCGTATCCTTAAAAAACATCAAGTCCAGATGAAACAACTGTATAGAGTTCCATTTGAGAGAAATGAAGATAGGGTGAAAGTCCTGCGGCGTGAATATGCGGAGGTAAGTTGTGTTTATTGACTGTAGTATGGTGCAGTGCACACATAACGTTTTGGAACTGGACATGCAATTTACCTGCATAGCAGATTTACAGTCTACTGATCTACACAATGTGATTTTTTATTTCAGAGTGTTTTGCAAATGGATGCGGATGAAGTCCAGCATGAATTTATATACATTGATGAGGCTGGATTTAACCTAAGTACAGTGAGAAGAAGAGGAAGAAATATCATTGGGCACAGGGCTATTGTCAAT